AAGTTCTCCCACCGTAGACACAGCAGATTCTCACAGCCAATTGGCCTGGAGGTCAATTCCTCCCAGTGATACCAACTACAATCAAGGCTTAACTACAACAAGACTGTGCACAAAGCCCAAAAAGGGGTGCACCAAGAGTGTCCACCTCACGTAATTGGGGAGGCTGAGTCACTGGGCCCTATAGGACACCTAGCACAGAAAGCTACTCTATGAACACAGGGAAGCAGCCAAAATGCAGAGACAAAGAAACAGGTCACAAATGACAGAAATGGAGGAAAGAAAACTACTGGATATAGAGTTCAAAACCACGGTTATAAGGTTTTTCAAGAATTTTCTAGAAACCACCGATAAATTTAGTGAGACCCTCAATAAATCTAGTGAGACCCTCGAGGATATGAAAAAGGACCAACTAGAAATTAAGCATACACTGACTGAAATAAAGAATATTATACAGAGATCCAACAGCAGACTAGAGGATCGCAAGATTCAAGTCAAAGATTTGAAATACGAAGAAGCAAAAAACACCCAACCAGAAAAGCAAAAAGAAAAAAAAAATCCAAAAATATGAAGATAGTGTAAGGAGCCTCTGGGACAACTTCAAGCATACCAACATCCGAATTATGGGGGTGCCAGGAGAAGAGAGAGAGCAAGATATTGAAAACCTATTTGAAGAAATAATGACAGAAAACTTCCCCTACCTGGTGAAAGAAATAGACTTACAAGTCTAGGATGCACAGAGAACCCCAAACAAAAGAAATCCAAAGAGGACCACACCAAGACACATCATAATTAAAATGCCAAGAGCAAAAGACAAAGAGAGAATCTTAAAAGCAGCAAGAGAAAAACAGTTAATTACCTACAAGGGAGTACCCATATGACTGTCAGCTGATTTCTCAATAGAAACTTTGCAGGCCAGAAGGGAGTGGCAAGAAATATTCAAAGTGGTGAATAACAAGAATCTACAACCAAGATTACTTTACCCAGCAAAGCTATCATACAGAATTGAAGGTCAGATAAAGAGCTTCACAGATAAGAAACAGCTAAAGGAGTTCATCACCACCAAACCAGTATTATATGAAATGCTGAAAGGTATCCTTTAAGAAGAGGAAGAAGAAGAAAAAGGTAAAGATAAAAATTATGAACAACAAATACATATTTATCAACAAGTGAATCTAAAAATCAAGTGAATAAATAATCTGATGAACAGAATAAACTGGTGAATATAATAGGATCGGGGCATAGAAAGGGAGTGGATTGACAATTCTCAGGGGGAAAGGGGTGTGGGGGGTGCGGGAAGAGACTGGACAAAAATCATACACCTATGGATGAGGACAGTGGGGGGCAGGTAAGGGCAGAGGGTGGGGTGGCAACCGGGTCGAGGGAAGCTATGGGGGGAAAAAAGAAGAACAACTGTAATAATCTGAACAATAAAGATTTAATTAAAAATTATTATTAGACTTAATAAATGAATTTGGCAATGTAGCCGGATACAAAATTAATGCCCAGAAATCTATGGCACTTTTATACACCAATAGTGAACTTACAGAAAGAGAGATTTAAAAAAAATTCCATTTACCATTGTACCAAAAAAATTTAGATACCTAGGAATAAACTTAACTAAGGAGGTAACAGACTTGTACTCTGAAAACTATAGGACACTGAAAAAAGAGATAGAGGAAGACATAAACAGATGGAAGAATATACCGTGTTCATGGATTGGTAGAATCAACGTCATTAATATGTCCATATTACCCAAAGCAATCTATAGATTCAATGCACTCCCCATTAAAATACTGATTTCACAGACCTAGAACGAACTCTCCAAAAATTCATCTGGAACAAAAAAAGACCCCGAGTAGCTGCAGCAATCCTGAGAAAGAAGAACAAAGTAGGAGGGATCTCAATACCAGATATCAGCTGTATTACAAAGCCACTGTTCTCAAAACTGCCTGGTACTGGCACAATAACAGACATATAGACCAATGGAATAGAATAGAGAACCCAGAAATCAACCGAAACCACTACGCTCAATTAATATTAGACAAATGAGGCAACAGCATACAATGAAGTCAAGACAGTCTCTTCAATAAATGGTGTTGAGAAAATTGGACAGATACATGCAAAAAAATAAAACTAGACCACCAACTTTCACCATAAACAAAAATAAACTCAAAATGGATAAAGGACTTAAACATAAGACGGGAAACCAGAAAAATATTAGAGGAATCCACAGGCAGCAAAATCTCAGACATATGCTGAAGCAATATCTTCACCGATAAAGCTCCTAGGGCAATGGAAACTAAAGAGGAAATAAACAAATGAGACTACATCAAAATAAAAAAAACTTCTGCACAGCAAAAGAAACCATAAAAAAACACACAACACAATAAAACAAGAAAGCCCACTGCATGGGAGAACATACTTGCCAATATTATCTCCGATAAGGGTTTAATTTCCAACATTAACAGGGAACTCATACAACTTAACAAAAGGACAATCCAATCAAAACATGGGCAATGGACCTAATTAGATACTTTTTGAAAGAGGACATAAGGATGGCCAAGAGACATATGAAAACATGCTCAAAGTCACTAATCATCTGAGATATGCAAATCAAAACAACAATGAGGTACCATCTCACACCTGTCAGAATGGCTATCATCAACAAATTAACAAACTACAAGTGCTAGTGAGGATGTGGAGAAAAAGGAACCCTCCTGCACTGCTGGTGGGAATACAGACTGGTGCAGCCACTGTGGTGAACAGTATAGAGTTTCCTCAAAAAACTAAAAATGGAACTCCCATTTGACCCAGTGATTCCACTTCTAGGAATATATCCCAAGAAACTAGAAACACCATTCAGAAAGGATATATGTACCCCTATGTTCATAGCACCACAATTTACCATAGCTAAGATTTGGAAACAGCCTAAATGCCCATCAGCAGATGAGTGGATTAGAAAACTGTGGTACATCTACACAATGGAATACTATGCTGCTGTAAAAAAGAAGGAATTCTTACCATTTGCAACAGCATGGATGGAACTGGAGAGCACTATGCTAAGCAAAATAAACCAGTCAGAGGAAGATAAATATCACATGATCTCACTCATTTGTGGAATATAATGAACAACATAAACTGATGAACAAAAACAGATCCAGAGACAGAGAAGCATCAATCAGACTGTCAAACCTTAGAGGGAAGGCAGGGGAGGATGGGAGTTATGGGAAGAGATTAACTAAGGGACTTGTATGCATGCGTATAAGCCTAACCAATGGACGGACACAGACATCAGTGGGGTGAGGGCATGAGCGGGGGAGGGGGGGAAGGAAGCAATGAGGGAATAAAGACACATATGTAATACCTTAATCAATAAAGAAAAAGAGCCGAAACCGGTTTGGCTCAGTGGATAGAGCGTCGGCCTGCGGACTGAAAGGTCCCAGGTTCGATTCCGGTTAAGGGCATGTACCTGGGTTGCGGGCACATCCCCAATAGGAGATGTGCAGGAGGCAGCTGATCGATGTTTCTCTCTCATCGATGTTTCTAACTATCTCTCTCCCTTCCTCTCTGTAAAAAATCAATAAAATATATTTAAAAAAATAAAGAAAAAGAGAGAATTGAATGCATACAGTAATTTTTAAATTAGAAATGTCTTTATTTTTAAAGTGATAATGAAGATCATTATCATATAGAAGTGAGAGCATTTATAACTCATTAGCAACTTGGAATTAGTAATAATTTACTTTGAAAAATTGGTACTTAGTTTAAAAGGGGCTTTTTATGCCAGTTTTTTGCTTGAACAAACTAATTTGACTTATGTGCTATATGGTCAGATATATACTGGAAATTTTGACACACTTATATGTAAATTGGGGTTAATTTTAGAAAAATTACCATCATGTTAAACTACAATATATTTGAAGGATTAAATTAAAATAATTTCTTCAAAAATTATCAATTGTTATTGTAAGAGTCTAATCCTCCTAAGATGTTTCATATTTGGCATGTGTAAACTTGACCAGATATGATTAACTGGAAATTTTATTAACTCTTATTTGAAAGATTAAGGCCACTTTGGGCATGCATTTCATAATTTAAATAAGTTGTCATAGCCTCCAATTGAGATAATAAATAGTATATTGTATAAGGAAACAAGCTATAGAAAAGAACTAATACTTTAAATCAATTTTTCCTAATACATGTAAGCTGTTTAGTGTCATCAAAAGATTCCAGTCAGAAGCTCTAGGCATTTTCTATGTAACACATAGATACATTACAATCTATGTGCAGAAACTCTTCTACTTGCATATTGGTTAAAGGCAAAAGAGAATTTGAAACCCAGATATATTTTTGAAAGAAGCATGTCTTTGAATTGTCCTTTCCCATTATGGTTCAGAGCCAGGGGTCCTCAAACTACGGTCCGCGGGCCACATGCAAATACAAATATTGTATTTGTTCCCGTTTTGTTTTTTTACTTCAAAATAAGATATGTGCAGTGTGCATAGGAATTTGTTCATAGTTTTTTTTTAATCTATAGTCCAGCCCTCCAACGGTCTGAGGAACAGTGAACTGGCCCCCTGTTTAAAAAGTTTGAGGACCCCTAGTTCAGACTGTCAAACTGCAGACTGGTTGCCATTTCAGTCAGCTCCATTGCCATTTAGTTGGTGCCTATATTTCATTATTTAAGTGTTAAATAAGTAACATATTAAATACAATTATGAATACCACTGATGGTTCATACACTGTATATTTTCTTTAATAAAGTTCAAATTACAGGATGACTATTTATTTTACTGAGTACATTTTATATTTGATTAGAAAATTCTGCACGCAACTCTTCTGCAGCATAGTCCATGATATTCAACAGCAGCTATGATCCAACAAGCAGGCAGTTTTGTTTGTCCAAATACCCACTTCGGTAAAACCTTAATGTTACTTAAGTTTCTTTTCAGACTACATTTGCCTAACTTGTATGAAACCACAAAGCCAACCAACTGTACCTTGACTGCGCCATTTTCATGCATGGTGATGCAGTTATCGGCATCTTCTGAGAGTTGGTACAAGGCCTGAGCTGTTGCTCGATGCACATTGGCGTCATTCGACTTCAGGTAACGCACCAATGGAGCCACTGCCTTGTTTTCACCAAAGGCCACTCTGTTTCTGCCCCACATACAGCAGCATGAAATGGCTTCTGCTAGATGACGCCTGAGTTTATCGTTATTCTGCATAAAGGAAATGAATGGTGGTATGATCCCGTGAGATCATGTTTATGCACTAAATGTTTATTACCCACTGAGATGCCAATGAGTCAGGAGAGAACAGCTAGCTAGATACTCAGGTGCTGTCTTGAAGGGAACTAGTATTTTGGTGGGTCACCAATGGACCATGTTTTAATCCTAAATTCTCATTTTATGAACTGAACATTCTCAGTGAACTCAAAAGTGATCCTCCCTCTCACCTGGTATTAGTTATTGGTATTTGCCTGATATTATTATTATCATTATTATTATTATTATTATTTGCTCCAGGCTCAATTTCCTTTTGAGTAAATATTCTCAACACAGAATTACAGATCCACAAGTGGTTTAGTAATAAATATAATTAAAGAATATAGGACATTCTCAAGAGAGCATTTCGCTTAACTGGGATAAGTGGATTAATTATACTTTATCACCCCAGGAATACTGCTTCATCAGTAATATACCTTGGTTCCCAAGAGGGAGAAGACAGTGTAGCATACAATGACGTATTTGAGTCTGTCATTTCCTTTCTGTATTCTTTATGCCATTATGTCCAATGTGTAATTAATTGTGTAGGTATAATATAACTGAATAAGGATACAGTTTTCTTTTTATTGATTTTAATGTTCGCTTGTTCAAGCAACAACTTGGTGTCCTTACCTGAATCTGGTGGATATTTTTAGGAACTCAGTATTAGGCTCTCTAGACCCAGCATCTTTCCAATGATTGAATTTCATCTCCACGACTTTTCTGCCAAGTGGTAGTCCAAGCTATGCTCAAATACTTCTGGTCATGGTGAAGTCATTAGCTCTCAAGGCTGTTTATTCTATCTGACACAGCTCTGAATAACTAGTACAGTGACTGCCAAAATCTGCTAGCTCAAGAATGCCACTGATCCAAGCTTGCTAAGCTGGGGAGGCACATTTAATTTCTAAAGTTGGCATGGACAATTATCTTAAATATATTAATAATGATGTAAAAATGATAGTTACTATTTCTACAAGAACACATTTGTTACCATTTTACTTGCCAGTGACAACAGCCTTTATTTCACAAGGATTTTAACACTGTATTCGTCTCAGAAATTAAATGAATTAACCCAAATCTCATACCTAATAAGTGATGGATATTAAACTTAAACCCAGGTGTCTGACCATAAAGCACATTGCTTTTGCCTCTATGCCATGACATCTTATGACAATATGCACTTAAAATAAAAAGATGTTACTTACTGTATTGGCTAGTTTGGACAATAAAGGGACAACTCCATGATCTGTAATGACAGCTAAATTTTCTTGATCTTTTGCTATATTGGTAATAGCAGCACATACACTTGCCAAAACTTCTTTATTATCTGATTTCAGTAAATTGACAACAAGTTCCAAACCACCAACAAAGGAACGAACCATTTCTCCAGCATCCTAGAAAATAAAAAAATAAAGATATCTATACTAATAAAATGGTAACATGCTAATTAGACCGGGTCAACTGGCCATCTTCCAGACATCCGACATCCTTCTGAACAAAGCCATGGTGGTGGGGAGCGAGGCAGAGGCAGTTAGGAGGCGAGACCAGGCTGGCAGGGGAGAGCAGTTAGGGGTGAGACCAGGCCGGCAGGGGAGGGAAGTTGGGGGCGAAATCAGGCCGGCCAGGGAGGGCAGTTGAAGGTGAACTGGCCTGCAGGGGAGGGCCATTGTGGGGGACCAGGCTGGCAGGGGAGGGCCATTTGGGGCGACCAGGCTGCCAGGGGAGGGCAGTTGGGGGCATTAGGCATGCAGGCAGGTGAGTGGTTAGGAGTCAGTGGTCCTGGATTGCGAGAGGGATGTCCGAGGGGTCCCAGATTGGAGAGGGTGCAGGCTGGGCTGAGGGACACCCCCCCATGCACGAATTTCGTGCACCAGGCCTCTAATCTATATATATAAAAGCCTAAGTGACCATTGCAAACAAATGACCGGAACAACCAGTCAACCAGTCGCTATGATGCACACTGACCACCAGGGGGGCAGATGCTCAATGCAGGAGCTTCCTCCTGGTGGTCAGTGTGCTTCCACAGTCAACCTCCCATGGCTGGCCAACCTCCTGTGGTCCCTTTCCCTCACTGACCAACCTCCCATGGCCCCTCCCCGCAGCTGGCCAACCTCCTGTAGCCCCTCCCCGTGGCCAGCCAACCTCCCTTCCCCAGCTGGCCAACCTCCTGTGGCCCCTACCCACCCCCCTGCCGGTCAGCCCCAATCGGTCCCAATCACCAGCCAGGCCAAGGGACCCCACCCATGCATGAATTCATGCACTGGGCCTCTAGTCAATAATAAACTAATATTTAGCATTTTTTAAAGCAAAAAGTAATGATAAAGCTGTGAAGTACACCCATGCCATTAAAAAACAAATTCAGTTTAATTTATTTCTATATTATACCTAATTTCTATGTATTTATATATAAATTATGTATGTATATAAACATACATACACATAAATTAGTTTCAATGAATATTTATTGAACAACTCTTATATGAGTTAGATGTTAACAAAATACAGTTGAATCTTATAATTTGCAATAGTTATGTTCTTTAAAATCACCACAAAGTGGAATTAGTGGATACTGAACCAATGCTCCTAAGGGAAATATAGCGTTAGGTTCCTGCCAGCCTCTGTGTTTCTCTTTAAAGGCATATTTCATATATTTTTTTTTCCTTTTTATTGAATTTATCAGGGTGACACTGGTTAACAAAATTATACAGGTTTCAGGTGCACAATTGTACAACACATCATCTGTACACTGTATTGAACAAAGTGAACTAACAAGCAAAATAGAGACAGATTCACAGGGAGCAGGCTGACAGCTATTGGGGGGTGCTCATTTGTGTGGAGGGATTGAGCAAAAAAATAAAAAAAAACTCATAGACACAGACAACAGTGTGGTGATTGCCAGGAGGAGGGGTTGGGGGGGGGGGAGTTAAGGAGGGTATAAGTGTTGATAAATGGGGATGGATGGAGGTTTGACTTAATTCATTGACATTGAAACACACTATAGCCTATGTTTGAATGAAGCTTATCTAGCACACATATTTTCTCTGTAAGGCACATGACAGCCTTCCTGTGCTTAGAAACACTAGAGAGTAATTTAGAACTATTCTTGTGGGCCATTTAAAACAGTAAAGTCATAAAAAAAAATGTGACACTAAGTAGACTACAAAATGGATGCTTACTATGAAAGCTGAAACAAGATGGCAGAGCATCATCTAGTTTGACCTCAGCCGAGAACATGCGTACTGGGCAACTCAAATTTCTCCATGAATGACCAAGAAACTGCCATGAATATTGATTTTGCAGTCACACAAAAAGTTTAGCATGTAGGTGAATTCCTGAGGAATTCAAATCTGTGAATAATATGGATTGACTATGTATAACCTTTTGCCATCATGTTGCTTATAATCTGTGGGGAACACAGGCATTAAGACATTACAAGTTTAATGAATAGCCCTAAGGGAGAAGAGGTAAAGAGACTACAAATACATCTAACAAGGGAATCTTGGCTGGTGTGAAGATTCGAGGACTGCCTCCCAAGAGGACGTTTGTTAAGCTAAAGCCTGACACCCGAGGGGGATTCTGGGTGGAGGAATCATCATGAAATATAGATCTAAGAGTGAGAGAGATGACTTTTCTCTAGTTCACAATGGTAAGAGCATAAAATAGGAAAGAAAGAATGGGGAGGGGGATGAGACTTAAGATGTGAGATCTTGACAGGTCTTATAAGCCTTGTTAGAGAGCTTGGAGTTCCTTTTCTGAGCATGTGAAAGCCAGTAAAGAGGTTTAAGTGTGGAGGAGTGTGAGGTGGGAGGGAATTTTATCAATTTTGTTTCTTGGAAGCTCTCTTGGGATTGCAAGGTGGGGCGAAGAGTGGTGCTGGGAACTCAGAGACTGTTTCACTGATTCAGGTAAAAGGTAGGAATAGTCTAGATCAGGAGTAGGGAATGTCTGGCCCATGGGCCACATCAGGCCTGGGAAATCATTTGGTCTGGCCCTGCCAAGGCATTAGGAGTGAGTTAATTAAATGTTTGACTAAGTATAGTAGGCTAATTTTTAAGTTGATAATTTTCTATGGCCTGTGAATGATGCTTTAAATATCCAAATGGCTCTTGGCAGAAAAAGGTTTCACACCCCTGGTTTAGATGAAGGTAAAGGTCTAAGCCTGGAGAAAAGGGGGTGGATTTGTAAGGGCTGATTAGAGAAGATAAAGACAAGTGGTTCAATGATGATCCCCACATTTCTGGGTTGACCTAGTGGTGCTAATGTTGGACAGGCAGGGTTTTATTTTGTTTTCTGGAGCAAGGAAGGGTGATAGTTGGTGGAAAAACATCTAATCTGGAAGGTAGGGGCCCAAAAGTATTTATGTGGAGACATCCAAGAGTCAAGTGGATATATGGGGTTGGAGCTCAGGAAAGAATACCATGGCTGGATATGTAGACTTGGAAGTCATCCACTTAAAGATTGTAACTGAAGTTAAGAATGTGAAAGAGCCCTAACCGGTTTGGCTCAGTGGATAGAGCATCGGCCTGTGGACTGAAAGGTCCCAGGTTCGATTCCGGTCAAGGACTTGTACCTTGGTTATGGGCACATCCCCAGTGGGGGGTGTGCAGGAGGCAGCTGATCAATGTTTCTCTCTCATCGATGTTTCTAACTCTCTATCCCTCCCTCTCCCTTCCTCTCTGTAAAAAATCAATAAAATATATTTTTTTAAAAAGAATGTGAAAGAGTGAAGAGTGAGAGAGAAGTGGCACTGACCCAGTGTTCTAGGTGTGGGCAGAGAAAAAGAATTTTACAGAGGAACCTGAAAACAAATGGTTGAACAGAAATCCACTTCCCCTGATGTATGATGGTGGCTGTGTAACGTGCACTAATTATTTCTCAAATTATAGAAATTAATATCTTTTGAGTTCTAAATATATATCAGGCACTTTACATAAATTATCTCAGTTAAACCTCAAAATAAACATGCTAAGTAGATATTATTTCCATTTCATATTTTAAAACTGAGGTTCTAAGATGTTGAACCTCATAAATTGGATTGTGTCCTTCATAAATGCTGGGACCATGTTTTTGTAAACTTAGTATCTTTCTACATCATAAATCTGATCATCTCATCCCACAGCTGTTTGATCCTTCCACAGCTCCCCATTGCCCTAAGGATAAAACTCCAACCCACACATAGCTTCCCAGCCCTTCATAGTGTGCCCCAGGCTTCCCTGCCTTGCTTTACCTGCCTTGATTCCCCTTCTCCAATGCCCCTCACACACCCTCTGCCAGTGGCTCCCCACAGGAATTAACAACCAGAAACCTGGCACTCATTCCCAAAGAATGTAATTTATTAAGTCTGGGGTGGGGCCCATAAAAAACATCTGGATTTCTAAAAACTCTCCTGGTGAGCCTGAACCTCAGCTTGCATTGGGAACACTGCTTGTGCATTCATGTCCTCAAATGTGCTGCTTGCACATGTCTCCATGCTTTGCACATGCCCTTTTTGGCTACTTTCCCATTAGCTTGGGAATTCCTACACAGCTTCAGCTACTAAGGTACCATTTTCTTCAGGAAGTCTTTCCTGAACCTCAAGTCTGGGTTAGGGTGTTCCTACCTGATTCTTCTATATTATACTAGCACTTACCAGTCTATGCAATAGTGGCTTGATTGTTTGCTTTTACCTTGAACTCTAAGTTTCAGGAGTGTAGAAATCCTCTCTTATTTACTGTTGTATATCCAGTACCTATGCCAGTTTCTGGTAGTAAGTATATATGCTCAATTAACATTCACTGAATTTGATTATATACACATTTGCAGATATAAAAGGAAACTTTCACTGAGGGTACAAAAAAAACCTAAGCTTCCAGTAAATGGTAAAGGAAGAACCAAGTCAGGATCTTCCCAAGTGTAAGGGCAAAGAATCTTTTCCCACAACCTGTTGTTTCTCCCAATTACTATGGGAAATGATGTCAGCAATATTGTTGACCTTGTTCTCAATGTCAAATTTAAATACAATTTTTGATAGGACACACTTCCAAATTATAATCTATTAATACAATTATTTAATTGCAATTTTTTTCTAAAATTCCACAGTACATTTTTTTTGTAATGCAAAATCTAATCTAATAATAGACAAACAGGGTAATTGACCGTACCTTAGCTACGCTTCCCATTGGCTAATCAGCGAGATATGCAAATTAACCGCCAGCGAAGGCCCTGAAGGCGGCTCCAGCCGGAGCAGCAAAGGCTGAAGGTGACTCTGGCCGGAGCGAAGGCCTGGGTCCCGGGTGCCGGAGGAAAACCGGTGCTGGCAGCCAGGGGAAGGGAAGGCCTATTGCACGAATCTTTTCATGCAATAGGCCTCTAGCAAATTAATATACTTTCAACTGTTTTCTACATTGTCACCTTT